TCTCCATTCCACAAAGTGTTGCTTTCTTAAATCTACAGCCCCGATTTCAGGGCTTTTAGTTAGTTCTCCAATGTTGTTGCCACCATCCCTGAAAGACCACGGTTTGGGCTTGCCACGTTTACCCATGTTCTGATCCCCAGGCTTCCTTAATCTCTTCTTAAAAATCACTTGTCAGGGAACGCTTGTTTTGCTCAACATTTCAAAGCAACCCTTCGGAGATTGGGGGAAAAAAAAAGATGATTATGGATCTCTCTGCAGAGCCCATGCCATTTGGGTTAGGGATCGGAAAGTTATGTTAAACTGGAGTAACAGATTATACGTTCCTTAATTGGTAAAGAAATATGCTCTCCTTGGGCTGGCTTTTATCATGAGGTTCATGACAAGACGTCCCCGTTGGTGGCCAGCTCCATGAGCGTTCCACTTCCTTCATCTTTTTTGGATATTCTGACACATGCTAGGCCTATATGGCAGGTGTCCGATTTCCTAATCATATTTTTTGACACTAAACGGAATTTACCCACTTCTGTCTCCAGAAGATGTCTGACACTCCTGAGATTCTGTTGTGCTGGCAGAGTTCAAATGCGCTGCCAAGGCAGTGCATTTCCCAAGGTTTTTATACATACATATATATATATATGTATGTATCCATCTCTGTTTAATAAAAATATATAAAAAAGCCGAAGAATGGCTATCAAAGAAAATGAATAAAACCCATATTGAGATAATTTTTTAGAAAATGATTGAAGTTTTAACCCAAGAAAGGACTCTTAAGAGTTTCTTATAGCTTAGAATAAGAACGTGTCAATCACGATTAAGCTTTTCGAATCGGAATCTCTTTGAAATGCAGCTGTTTCTTCTTTAATTGTGGCTGCGGACTTGGAAGAAAAGGAAGGTCCAGGTTTCGAGATGAGTCAGGAATACAAAATAGCTCCGGATTAGTTGGAGAGTTCAAAGGTCGGTAATTACACGAAGGAGTTCCCAGACACAGAGAAAACATTAAACAGGTCACCTACCAAACGGGAAACAGACTTTTGTCTCTCCACACCTCCCCCCCTCCCCGTTCTCCT